AGGAATGGCTCCTTGGGCAGCAGCGAGCTGTTGGACTAAGTCATTGTCTAACTGCACCCTTGTGATGAGTTGGGAAAAGGCCGGGAGTTACTAAACTCAGCTGGAGACAGGCTGGGGGTTTCCTAATTAATAGCCGTTCCCATTGTTCTGTTGAGGACTCCTGATAGCTTTCTGGAGGTATCTTATCTTTGTCATTGTTTCATTTCCTGTTTATCTTCCGCTAACTGTGTCTGTTCATTTAACTCCATATGTTTCTGTAGAATTGTATTAAAGCCTCAGTATAAAAGCTCCTGTCTGTACTGGATACTTAAAAAACCCAAACCACAAACCCCAAGTATTCTGCAGAGTTAATGGTTTTATGGTAAGCTAATGTCTTCCCTGCTAGCCTGTCAGCGTTCTGCAAGCAATAAATTCACCCATGTTCTCTATTATAAGAGTTAAGCTTATCAGCTGCCCTCCTTGTTAACATCTTTTTGTCTTTTCTTTCCCTCCTTCTGTCATTAACCGAAAAAGCCTGTTTTTGGTGTTTGGCTTTGACAATCATCTCTGCTTCAAGCCTGAAGAGCTGGTGCACCCAGATAAAACCTCAAACTCTTGAAGTGTTGGTGGCATCTTAACTCTTTTTTCTTTATGAGAACAGTTTCTCATTTTTCTTCTGATCTTCCACACTTTATAATCATCTGTTCCTTTTTCTGCTTTGCTATGTGTTATTCTGAGCCTGAGCGCACCACCTTGGCTATCTGGGCTTTGGAAACCCTAGCAATGAGCCTGATAAGAAAAAGTCCAAATGTGAGCTGTTTGGCCTGTAGTTGAGGGTGCTTTATTAGATTAACATTTGATATGAGAGGTGACGTTTGCTTGGGAAACATAAGGAATGCTGCTTGCAGACAACTGATCTAACAGCTTGCTGCCACTGAAAGGGACTATCCTAACTCCTACCTTGTTCCAGACTATTGCTCAACTGATTGCCTTCAAAAGTTGCCTCAGGCGAGTAATCAGTAAGGCAGATTATCTTCAGGACATTGTGTGTGCTAGCTTTCTATGGCTATAGCTGATTTCAGGGAGACTGATTACATTTAAACGGAATTTCCTACAACAATGGGATGGTTGCTTCCTGGAAGAACCGTGTCTCTACACTTGGTTGTAGTTAAAATCCCACCTAAAGACAGGGGCTTTGGCACTAACATTAGTATGTTGAGTCCCATTGAATTCTAGATTACATTGGTATGCCTGCTTTCATGGGGCTGGGCATGTAAATAAAATAAAAAGAGACAGTGTGTTCTCCCTCTCCTCCCTCATTTTCGCCCTTTCGCTCTCTCCGAGTTCCCAGATCCAGAGCAGTTTGGTTATGCAGAAAATGATTGGCACAGCAAAGCCGGAGCAGTGCAGCAGGGGAGAAAAATGAGTGACTGGGTCTGAGCTTTCTTTAGCTGAGTCTTATCGATGCCACGACCCAAGTTACGGATTGACTGCTGAGGCTCTTGATACTCCCTTTGTCAAGGAATGTCTCCTAACACGCAGAATGGTGACTCATTTTAAAAAGAGCATGCTCCAAGGACATGATATGAATGGGAGATTAGTGCTAGAAGGTAGATAGCAGAGGAATGAGGATTCATCGATTGTGACTGGAAAGATTTTTGAGTGCTGAGAAAGTTGGGGCAGGTGTGGTGCAGCATCCCCCTTTCCCAACACAGTTCAAGGAATGCAATGCTATATGCTACCTATAATGTATTATTGGTGCTAATAACCATGAAGCCATGAGTGGGGAGCAGTATTACAGAGGTTCATAGCTTCAGCACAATTTGAAGTGATTGAATTTGTCTCTTCTGTAGCCTTAAACCAAATATCTGATACCTTGGAATACATGTGAACTATCCAAAGGCCAATTACTAATCGAACAAGGGAGTTTATTAAGATGTGGGATTCAGTAGCTGGATGCAGATATGTCATCTGGTTAGTGTTTTAAAGCTGAAGCATAGCTTAAAAAAAAGGGACATAATTAGGAGACCCTAGGGTTTATTCCAGTTTGTGGTATGTTCAGGTGACTCCTGAGTAGTTTGATTTCCAATGCAGGTCCTGAAACCCAGACATCCAGGCTGTGTTATTGCATTATCAGTGTACTGATCTCGCCTTTGGACAGTGGTAACAAATCTTTATTTGTTGGCCACCATCCAGCTGTATCCTAATATAACTTGGTAGGAAAACTTGAGGTTAGTGTTTATGAGGAATTTTGTAGCGGTTGGGGCTGGTGACCTCTGTCAAGTGTGGACATCAAGGATGTTGTTTTGTGCCATTTTGCTTGTGGAGAAAACTTGATTTATTACAGTAGAATTAGGAATTATGACTATGACTGTGGGATGAAAACTCTTCCTAAATCTGTGGCCCGTTTTCTTTTTTCTTGTATTAATCTTAGATCTCTTCATGCTCCAGATCTTCAATTGTTTTAATTTTATTTTTCCAAGGACCAGAAAAGGCTTTCCTTGGAAGCTGTTTGTTTACCATATGTTTTGTCAGAGTATCTTTTCATGATTTGTTAGAAGTCCGTGGTGGCTTTCTGGTGACTCAGGGATTGCACTATAGTACTGGTAAGATAATGTTTAATGATATATTCTAAAGCAGGAGATTTAGGTCACAGGATTAGTTTGTTAGGAGGCTTCAATCAAGAACGTATTAATTAGAATGCATTCTGCATACAGACAGATGTTTAAATTTGAATTACTAGATAAAAATTGAACATTTGTTGATGCAGAGCACTACAGAAAACTAGACTTATTTATTTTTTTTTTTAAGCAATGCCTGTGGATTTAGGTCAAGAGTAGAATGTCAGCATGTGGCAATGAACTTGCAAAAATTCCTTTTTCCCTACCCTGTATGCCCAGTATGTTCAACAGGCGTAAGTGCCCACTGACCATGTAAAGGAGTTAAGAAAACTTTAAAAAAGCAGTATTATTAGGGAAGAAAAACATTTTCTCAGGTGTACAATGTTAGGACACATAATACTTCTCATATGGTTTTGCTTTTGCAGGAATAGATAGCCGATACAATGAAGGTTGCAGGGAACTGGCAAACTATCTGCTTTTTGGCTTGTATAACCAGAGTAATAACGACTTTGAAAGAACTGGATTTCCTGAAGAAGTTCTTGATGGTGAGTAACATAGTCAACATTTGAACCTATTCTGCAGTCGTTCTGGAGGGTGAGCCAGAAAAAGGGGTGTACCTTAAAAAAAAAAAAAAAAGTAAATCTCTAATTGTGTTAATACACCTGAAAACCTGTTCTTAAAAATAGTGCTGAAGAACTTTTGTTCTTTAGCACATACCCTCTCCATACATTCCCCCAGGTGTTCTAAACCTAGACAAATACAGCCCCTTATGAGGAGTCCTAGTTCAGTCTTGGTATGTATGTACATGTGTTACCAATTATTGTGTGATCAAGCCTCTGGAGTTCTAAAGTACTTGGGCTCTTTTTTACTTTAACATATTAACTCACTTTTGTAATATTTGAAAGGTGACCAATCACCATTATCATAGCTTATTATTCATTTGCGTGAAACTTTGAATATCTAGCCCATAGGCTATAGTGCTAGTTTTCAGTTGGAACAACCTTCTGATGTAATATCAGGCAACAGCAGCTATAGTTTACAGTTTTGTAAGTGCTCTGTAAAGACTCATCACTGACACTCTTGGCTTTTCAAAGGACAGGCTGATGCAAGTTCTGTGCAAGACTTCAGAATAAACCCACAATTGTTCTGAACAGTAAGAAGTACTGTTGTACTTGGAGCTGTGTATGGCTGCCAACTGTTTCTTTTTTAAATAAGTGGGGAATGATTGTGTGTTCAAATAGTTAATCCATTTTCTTTTAATGAGGTACATTATAGGAAAAATGTTTTCTGTTCAGTTTCTGTGGGAGTTTTCTTGTGCCCATATAATTCTTCTGTGCATAGAGTCTTGATGCTGCAATAATACATGTTCTGCTTGTTGCAGATATAATCATATTAATAAAACCTGACAGTGTCCATCTGTACTGTAACCCTGTGAATTATAATCATCTTTTGCCATATGTGGCATACTGGAGGAACTTGCATTTTCACTGTCTAACTGAAAATGAGGTAAGTGGAAAAGGAATGCAGATGAGAATTGCTCATGAGCTTGCTAATGAACTGATATTCAAAGTGGAACTTCTTTTTAACATTCCTTCTGGAACTCTTTTCTTTTTCCCACTCAGCAGGGGAGTGATCTGCACATATATGTGGTTATTAATCATTTTGATAATGTGTGCAACAAGAATATGGTTTTAGTACTTTGTATTTGTTGGAGCATGAAGATAAATTGCTCCCCTCTCCCACTGATTATTATTGTTTTGACACGAGTCAATGATCTTTTAATGAGGAAAAACATGTCGGTTGTGAGAAAGGCAGAATCTGAATCAAGTACTACAGTCAACACTGAGATTTCCAATGATGGCCTTATTTGCTGCCAAAGCAGTGTTTTAATGTGGTGTTTGCCAATAGTCTCTCATATTAGAAGTTTGGCTTAGTTAGCCATTTAAAATCAGGAAACTTTATTATGTATTTTCATTTTAACTTTCAACTCTTTGTTTCAAGAGCTAGCAACCTCACTTTCATTGGACCATGTGAGTGATGTGAGTTTCATCTTGCATTTAAAAATCCAGATATTCTTAGAAAAGCTATGTTTATCATAGTAAAGTATGATTAGGGGCGTAAAAAATGAAAATGCCTTTTGTCTAGGCGTAGAATAAGAACCTTTTTATTCCAATTGAGACTGGAGATGTTTCTTATTTAAAAATCCAGATATTCTTAGAAAAGCTATGTTTATCATAGTAAAGTATGATTAGGGGCGTAAAAAAATGAAAATGCCTTTTGTCTTGGCGTAGAATAAGAACCTTTTTATTCCAGTTGAGACTGGAAATGTTTCTTCCTAAATGCCATCATGGGAAGCTTTCCCCCCTGTTCAGTTCTGTGTAGTTCCTTTTCTAAACTAGGATTATAGTGAAATCTGAAGGGAGTGTGTTAGGAGCCTGAAATGTCAATGGGTGAAGCTGGTGGAACAATGAATGACGAGGTCAGGGAGAGAAACCTTTTGTTCCCTTGAGTTTCCAGCTTGAAAGTGATGGGGCTTATGATAGATTGATTGTGTTTTTATGTGGCCGTTTGATAGTTTAGATCACAGAATGATGAAATAATTCAGGTTAGAAGGGACCTCTGGATATCATCTTGTCCAACCTCCCGCTTAAGGCAGGGTTAGTGATGAGATCAAACTCAAGTTTTTGCAGTTGGATGTTGGAAGTGTCCAACTGCAGAACTTGTCTTGGGTATCTGCTCCGTTACCTGACTGTTCTAATAGTGAAAAAATGTTTCCTCTTATCCAATCTGAACCTCTCGTCGTTTTAAATCATGCCCTTTGGTCTGCTGCTGCAGACCACTGCAAAGAGCCTGGCTTCATCATCTCAGTAACTTTATTGTGGCTGTTGAAAGGCAGCGATGAGGTCCAGCCACTGCCTCCTCTAGGCTGAACAAGCCTGGGTCTCTCCTTGTAGGACAAGTGCTCCAACCCACTATCATGGTGGCCCTCCACTGAATGTGCTTCACTTTGTCAATGTCTTTCTTGTACGTAGGCCCTAGAACAAGCCTGGGTCTCTCCTTGTAGGACAAGTGCTACAACCCACTGACTATCATGGTGGCCCTCCACTGAACTTGCTTCACTTTGTCAATGTCTTTCTTGTACGTAGGCCCTAAAACTGTGTGCAGTGTTCTAGATACAGTCCCATGAGTGCTGCGTAGAGGGAGGGTAATTACTTCTTGGTAAAATGTGAACAGCTGAGCTACAGGTTAAAGCATGCCATAGGGAAATCTAAAGTCTGGCTTCGTAAGGTTTTTCTGTTGCCAAAATCCCTACTGAAAGGGCAAATCTTGAAGCGTACCTGACAGTGGTAAAACACACACATTTTGGAATCGAGAATGGAGATCTAAAGTCTGGCTTCGTAAGGTTTTTCTGTTGCCAAAATCCCTACTGAAAGGGCAAGTCTTGAAGCGTACCTGACAGTGGTAAAACACAATTTGGAATCAAGAATGGAGTAGTTCTTAACACTCTGTTGCTAGCACAGCTGCAATCTCTACTATTGAATTTTAAGCTGCATCTGCTTATGGGCTTTTACATGATTTATCATGGTAAGTAGTAACCTTAATCACACAGTACTGGCTTGAAATAATGGCGTAACTAGAAAAGTAAACCATATGCCTTGCTATTTCTGGAAATGAATGGACAAGTTTGATTTCTGAAGTTGAAAATACAAGGTTTATTTTCATTGCTGTTTTGTGTGAATGAGCTGAGTGATGCACTTCCAGTCGTGTTTCTAATGTATAAGAATTGCCAGTTTCCTAGATTACTTTTGAAAAAGAAACAAAAAAATGTTGCTGTGTCAGGCTTTAAGTGCATCCTGTTTACACGAGGATTGCCTCTAGTGCCTTTTCAGCATTTTTTTTTTCCTTGACAGAAATAACTTGTGCTTGCTTTTATAACAATGAAACCAAAAAAGCTCAAGAGCTTTAGAAATAAAGCCAGCAGTGCTCTACCTGGCTCTGTGCAGCTCTTGATGAATCTGGCAAAACCTATAGCCTCGCTTCCTTTCTTCCTTCCTACTTGCGCTTTAACTAGACCATAGGAATTTAAGTGAATATAGTAGTTATGGGAAGAAAAAAAGATATTATTAAAGAATACTCATTTTTAAAATGGCCAAATATGATAAAGTACTGAAATTGGATGCATCCTGTATAAGCTTTCTGGGTATCATGACTGTTCCGTTTGTGGAATGGGCTGTATTTATACCTGCAAGAGCAGATAGTGAGCAAGTCTTTAGCACCCTGCCAAAAACCAAGTTCTTGTTCTAATGGCATTTTAAGTCTTGAGAAACTGGCAGTTGTTTGGGGCTTGGCTTTGATCTGAAACTTTGATCTGGCTTCCTGGGATTGAAGAAGGAACATGTTATGGAGGAACTTGGGCTGCATCTTAAATTCAGGCTTGTCTTAAAAGAACTTGTTCTTAAAATAAATTTGTTGGGTGTACCCTGAAGCTCACAAATGTTATATACAAAAAAATCATAATCATGTAATTTACGTTAATATTAAGTTTAGAGCACTGTACGTAAAAAAAAAAAAAAAAAATTAATGAAAAATAGACAAAACACCACTGCCTTCTGATCTTGCTCCAGAAAGCAAGTGACTCTTGAAGTACCCAGTGGGGCTAGGCCTGTTGGTTTCAGACTTGCTGCTAAACTGTGCCTTTTCAGCTAAAATTTGGAGAGCATTTTTAGGTTTTTAGCCTGTTATGAAAATGATTTTTGTGTGATTTGTCTCTTCAGTCTAGTTTTTATGCTTTTCTGAGCCATAAGTATGATACTTGTTCTTCACTCCCGCTCTTCAGTCTGCTGAAGTCTTCAGACGACTTCAGTCTGCTGTTAGTGTGAAACAGCAAGAGAGTGTTGCATGGTGGTGTCTCCTTTTCACATCAGTTGGTATTCTCAAAATATCTGTTATTGTTTAAAAACTGTCCAGAATCTACTAGATGATGTTGAAAGACTTCACTGAAAGCTGATAATAAAGTATACAATTATGCTTTCATATTACCTTATTAAAAACCTTGCTCTGAAGTTTGATTTTTAAAGAACAATTTCGTTTGGCTGCCATGATTGAGTTTCCAAAAGATAGAGACTAAAGAGGTTCTTTAGCTTCTGGAAGCTGTAGGTGTTATTTGAATGGATTATATGACATTTGCTATGGAATTAAAGCAGTAGAATACATATTCTCTTTAGTGCAAAACTAACAATCAAATTAGGCATGCCTAATCAAATTTTATTTTAAATGACTTCTTTCAGTATGAAGATGAAGAAGCTGCAGAGGAATTCAAAATTTCCAGCTTTGTAGACATGGTTCGGGATTGCAGTCGCATTGGTATTCCATACAGCTGCCAAGGTGGGTTAGCTTCTTGTATGCTTATAGTGTAAGTGTTTTGCAGCATGCAAGTCGTGCAGTTCAGGGAATGAAGATTTCCTTGCCTTTGGTAAGAAATAAGGATTAATATGTCAATAGTTTCCTTTTAGCCTCTTTTTATTTAAGAGTTGGATTTCTTTCTGGAAAATGTAAGCCCTTAGACTTCATTTGACGAGTGAATGCTCACAGCATGAGGCAAAGAAATAATTTGCATTCAGAGAAGTGTGTTCTGCCACTACAGAAGTTCTCTGTTCAGATGGAAGCTCCAGATAAATACTTCTTTATGTAAGGAAAGAATAAACATTTCGTTATGCAAGTTTCCTTTTTTTAGCACTGAAAAAACTGGAGTGCATGACTTCCTGTTATGATCTGTAGCCAGCCTTGCAGCCTGAACACTGTAATCTTACATTGTTCAGTACAGTGTACTTTGCAGTATCCCGAACAGTGAATAATGCAGAAGTGATACAGTGTATGTACTTCATTGCAGCATGAGCGTGCAGGGTTTTTGATCCATAGTACAGTAGGTGAGAGGCAAACAGCAAAGAAAGCAATTTTCTTTTTTTTTTTTTTTTTTAATTTTGAACCATGTGAGTTCAAACCAAGCTAATTCAGTTTGGGGTGTTGGTTTTTTTATTGTTCCTAATTCTCTGTTATTTCTCTTGAGGAAAGGATGATGTGCTTATCATTAATGGGTCAGAGCAGGGGGAAGGTTGGTGGTTCTTTGTTAGGAAGTATCTAAAGAAGACGTGCAGCTTAAGGATGATAATCACTCTTCACTTCAGATGGCGTCTAGCTTCACCGATGAGTACTAGGCTCCGATGAATACCTCTCCTCTAACTTAAAATTCTGATTACCATGGGGATGATGTCGACAGTAGTTTACTTAAGGCCAAATATTTGAAGAAATTGGAGTAAGCAAAGCTCCCTGTTTATTATCTTGAATTTTAATGGGCACAGTTTTGCTACTGGTCTTGGAATGAAACTTCTGAGGAGAGAGACATAATATCCTTTGCTAGACTGATAGCTGGAAAGAATTAGGGGTGTAGAGAGAAAGGAGTTTCCAAAAGCTACTGTCTTCAGAAAAAAACATTTTTCAGTGACAGATTTTAAGTTGTACAAAGACAGGATAATTGAGATCCTTTATTAGAATCTGAGAACAACTCTAAGATCTCACAGAAAGTTAAACTGCCAGTATTTGTGAGAGAATGTTTCTGTGAAATATTTCTTTTGCAGGTCATCTACAGATATTTGATATGTTTGTTGTTGAAAAGTGGCCAATAGTGCAGGCTTTTGCCCTGGAAGGAATTGGGGGTGATGGATTCTTTACGATGAAATATGAAGTAAGTAGTTATGTTTTTCTTCAATTTCCATTCTGAAGCAGAAATTGAACCATGGAATTATTTCAGTTGGAAAGTACCTTTTGAGATCATCTAGTCCTGACTCATCGCTCAAGTGAACTTCTAAGTTTGATGAAATTTTTCAGGATCTTAGGAAGCTAAGCTTTGATCATGCAAGGATGGGAACACCACAGTCTTGCTTGAGAGACTGTTACAAGCTATGCAGCACTCTGTCCTGGATAGACCATGATTGTTTGGTCCCCCCAGCCTCCTTGTTTTGATTTACAACTTTTTTCCTTCTTTTCTAGAGCTTTCTCTAGCAATCATAGAAAACACTTTTTTTAACTCTGCTAGATGGGTATAGGGAGAGTGCAAGAGAAGCTGGTGGGTGACAAATGCCTTGAAATGAACTGAGAAAATCAGAAGTGACTGTATTTCTTCGGTCACTGGTTTTGACACAAGAGATGCATCTACTTTTCTCACCAACATTATATATTCTTGGGTCATTGCAGCCTGCTGAATAGGGCAACAGTCAAGATTTTGGATGATGCTCCTAATTTTAATAATGATTTGCTGTTTCACTCTGAGCAACTTGTGTCATTTGATTTGCTTATTTACTAAATATACTCTTAACAGCATCTTCAGAGGACAGCTATGTATTTATGTACTTGTTTGAAGCTTCTTTTATTTAATTTTCTTGGACCTCTGCCACAGAAATGCAGATGTCCTATTTTTCTTGTCAATCCTCCATTTTTACAGCCAGAATGTTCTTTGTCTGACTTCTGACAACTGGAAAAACCCCAAGGAATTAACAGTACCATTGTTAAAGTCTCATCACATGTAGTACTGTACATGCTTGTTCAAAAATCTATTATGTGAGCTCAAGTGTGCCTTTCTCTGAGCACTGTACTCTTTCCATCGATACCTTTCTTCATGCTTTTTTTTTCCCCTCTTCGTTCCATCACTAGTACTGTAATCATCTTGTTGTGTGAGCCTGTCAAAATCATTAAATACAAAGTGCAAATAGAGGAGGATCTGTGTGGAGTTCTGCCTAAGGATCAATAGCCCCTCTTGATGCTTGAAATCAGTCAATGAAAATTTGCCCGTGAATTCAGGAGTTGTTTGGGTCTTTAATTACCCTTGCCAATTAATTTCATGAATCTGTAGAGGCTTTGAGAAAACGTGTAAACACAGTGTGGCAATCACCTTTTGAGGACAGAGCCTCTCCTGTTCTGTTGTGGGAGTTGATACTGACTTTACGACACTCTTGCAGTCTTGAAAAGGAGCAATGCAAATTCTCGGTATCTGTTTTTGAGAGTAGGCATGTTAGCTCTGGTGGTTCAGCCAGTTCCAGCTTGAGTTCTTGCTTTCTTCCTCCTCAAAGTCCTAAGAGGATTTCAAGTGGGGAAGTGGCATTCTTAACTTTTCACGTAACTGCTATGCATGGTTGCCTGTTAGGCAGCTGCTATATGTCACAGGTGGGGAGGAAAAACCCATCTATGGGAGGAAGTACATTTGGGATCACTGTTAATGATCTATAAGTGAATACTTCTGCTGTTATTAAAAGGGAGTGTTCATGGTGCATTTTTAGCTCCTCAAACTGACTTTCCCTCTGCTGTGCGTTCTATATACTGTTAGATTTGAAGATAATCAAATGATGATAACTTTATTAATATTTTCTTTTGGTGTTTTAAGGGCAGTTACTCTCTTACTACAGAGTTCCCAGTTGCTCAAGATGCTGTAATTCAGAGAAGTTACTGTACCAATATATCAGTGGAAGTGATGTCTGGGAAAACATTATTGCCATGTCTAATAATATGAGTAACTGGAATAACTGTAAAGTAGGGGTTTAAGAAAATTCCAGTCAGTGTTGCATTTTCAAGTAGGTGGTAGGGAACCCTGTAAATGCAGAAATTATTCAGATACAAGTGTCCCTTAAGAATATATTTTTTGAATAACATTCTCATAGGTATCATCTTACTACTTGGAAGAAGGTATTACTAATTGCTAAGCTAAACTAGCTTAGCCTAAATTTACATTACGCTTACAGCAAGAATTGGCTGGTGTGTAGGATGAGTAACCTTGGAATCTGCTTCTTGTCTGTCTTGTCTCCAGAAAACTGATTTTTTGGTTGCACCAGCTGATACTATTCTTTGCTATTAATTCAGTTTTGAAAAACTTTATGAAATGATTTGTTTAAAAGATGCAAGTAAAACTTCCCATGTACTTTCAACCTTCACGTGAGCAGATGTGTCTCTGAAGCACCCAGAACACTTGCATCTGGATTACAATTATTTTGTAACCAGTAGCATAAAAATATTTCCAAATTCAGCATTAAGGAGCACCATTAGACTAGGCGCTGTGCTGCAAGTCTGTTTTAGTGTGGCTTAAACCTGATCTGTGGCATTCTTCATCGTGTTTTTCATAGAATTGTGTTTAAAATCTTTTTCAGTTAATGGACGTCAGTGTTGATTTGTGGAAGACATACAGTAAAATGGATCCTGTTTCCCTGGAGGACTTGCTCTTTGAGGTAATGCAGGTGAAATACTCTGGATCAACTACTAGTCTGTTAGTGTAGCCACAGAGCTAAATTGTTGTTATTTTGGTTGTTTTTAATAGTGCTTGTATGCTTAATCTACTGCTCTGCATACTGTTGCTTGAAGGGTCTCTTTCCTTGCTTCAAATCTACCGCAAAGTCTGCAAAACTTTAAAAGAACTTGTTTTGAATGTCTTGAATTTCTTAATTTGCCTGAAATTCTCCTAAAAGTTTATCTAAATGTATATGACTATTCTTCAGGTCGTAGGACTATGTACAAAGCACAGCAGGTTGGTATGTTTGTGTGTGTTAATCCTCCTTTTGCAGCAAGGGGGGGGAAAAATCCACTTTAACATACAACCATTCTTCCAAAATAAACCTCTTTATGCGGGTAACAGTGACACACAGTGGCTGCTCTGATGCTTTCTGAAATACAAACAGTGTAAAGTGATTCCTCATTTTAATGTGGTGGTCTGATCTCAGTGCTAGAGAAGCAAGCAACGTGTGAGTATCAGTATACATTATTTTGTTGTTAATTTTTTCATCAGTTTCTAGTTTGGCAGCAAAGTAGGCTTTTAATATGTAGCAAGTTCAGCAGAAAATATCTTTTATTAATAAAAATATTGGTAGTTCACACCAATTCAGTTTTTCAATCGACTGCTGTAATGAAAATTAAAATGGCTTACAGTTTTCAAGACTGTCAGTCTAAATAGTTACTCTCTGATACTTCACTTCCCCTTTTCCTGTGGAAGTGAAATAAATGTTTGGACTTTTCTTGTACTTGATAAGTCTGCCCTGAAACAGACTTATTGATCTTATTTTGAAGTTGTTGTTGGTTTTTTTTTTTTCTGAAAAAATAATTAATGAATGGGTTTTTTCATACAAGTCTGGTTTCATAGAAATTGGTTATTTTAAAAATGATTCATTCCCGCAGTGAGAATGAGGTTAGGTGATCTTAAAGAGCATTTGAAGCTGGTATATGTTTATACTTTTTTTTTGTTAACACAGCTTTGATTTCAAAAAGTTCCGATTTGAAATCTCCTTGGGTTTTGAAAGAATGTTCTGTACAACATTGGCATGTTCCAAAAAACTGACAAAAGCACTTTTTAGTTCTTAGCTTCTATGAAAAGCTTATTTGAGGCTGGAATATTCTCCAAGGATAGTTTCTCCTTCTAAATGTAAACCTTCATTTTAAACCTCTAATATAGCCTTTATTATTATTTTGGCAGGTTTGTAAAATTTCATCAACATTCACTCTCTAAGTTTCATTCACTGCTGCATTAATGGAGTGGCTGAAGTAAAATACTGTCTAATACACTTACACCACTGCTAAAACCATAGTTCTGGTTTTGCCTGTTATATATATCTGAAAAACTACACTTTCTAAAATCAGGGTGTCTGTCAGCTTCCAAGTTAGTAAGTGACAAGGAACTGAAAGTAATCTGGAGAGGATTTTAGAATTGCCTGGTTCTTTAAGGTTCCTGCTTTATCAGCATGACACACTCTTTATTGATTCTCTTTTTTTTTTTTTTTTTTTTTTTTTTAGTTAATTTGAATGTAACACTTAGACTGTAGTCATCTTCCTTTTTTATTCCGCTTTAGTGGTATTTCCTTTTCCATTTACCTTTTTTTATTTTTACAAATGCAGATAAAGAAATGACTGTCTGCCACTTGCACATCATAAGTTTCCAAAATTCCCCACCCTGTTCCTCATTTTCTGTCTGTAAGCTTACTTAATGTCAGATACAAATTACTGCAGAACCATACACAGATTTAAAAATGGAAAATAAAATCTGTACGAGCATTCATTTTGGAAGTTTTATGGGAATTATGAGGTCTGAGTTATGAGTGATCTCAAAACAGAGTGCTTCCTTAGGTTAAAAGCAGATAGGGAAAGGACCAGAGCCCTGCACTCTCCTGCCTCTTCTCCCTCCAAATAAAAAAAAAACCCAAACAAAAAAGCCCCCACTCAAAAAAACTCCCTAAGCCCAGCAGAAAGTCCTTATCTTTTTAGGTGATTTTTATTTTCTCGTACTCATTGTTTCATTGGGCAGGCTGTATTCCATACTGCATAGTCAAATGTAATCTACATTATTGTGAAGTAATTTGGGTTCATTCAGTAAAATCTGTGACTTTCTTTCTCTGGTATAACATTTGCCTTACTAAGTAATGTTGAATATTTTTCTTCTAGGATTTGATGATTTTTGAACACCAGTGGACCAATTTTTTTGCTAATTTTGATACTGAAATTCCCTTCATTCTGGAACTATCAGAATCTCAGGCGGGGGAGGTATGCCTGCTTCCATAATCCTTTGAAATGCTGGTTTGAGGAGGAGAACCCTATTGATTTTTTTTTTTTTAAAGTGTACCACCCACCTTACCTGTCTGTGGTATGATGGCTTAGGACTGCCTGGGGTAATTCACACTTGAGTGTTTGTTCACTGATAATTGAACTTATTTCTGCACAACAGATCCCTATTTGTAGGTAGATTGACTTTAATTTTGGTGGAAGCTCTGGTATGTGCGTTGCTGAACAAGTTGAGGTTGCACGTGTCAAGTCTCAAACATAACTCATGGTAACATCCAGTGTGGGTAAACATGGCACAGTGTTTTTTGGTAACAGCTGTTGCTTTTTAAGCATATATGAGGCTTAATGATGTTTGGGTTTGTTTATGGAGGTTGGAAATACTTTTTGAGGGGTCAGGAGTTTTCTTTGAGAAGGGTAATTCAGGTTTGTTTTTAATGATAGTAAGGATGTATCACTTTCTGGTCATTTATTTCTTAATCAGATTTTTTTTTTTTTTTTCTCAGCCTTTCAGAAGTTACTTCAGTCACGGAATGATCTCAAGCCATATAACAGATAACAGGTATTACTCATTATTCCCTGTGAAATTGTGGTGTCACTAGTACCTTGATACGTTATTTCCATATCTCTGATGCCATAATGCTTATAATTCCTTTTAAGACCATCTCCGTACATCGCATTTCATCTTTGAATATTTAAAAAAAACAAACATGCAAAGGCATTTCTGGGTGGTAAAACCTGAATTTTCATGGGATTTAAGGCTGTACTTATTGCATATAGAATGTCAATATGTTTGAAACCAACTACCTTGTGCATTTTAATGTGATTAATTTCTTCATGGTCAGATATCTAAAGTCAAGAACTTACTACCCAGGAGAGCAATGTTTGAACATGTTGGTCCTATTTATATGATACTCAAAACCAATTAAAATATGAAGGTTGAAGAAATCAGTATACTTTAGTGAGTCACAATATCCACAAGACCAACATGTAAAGCAGGGCAATTAAAAACCCAAATCTTAGCCAATATAAGCTGGACAATACAGGTCAGCTTTAGTTTATTTCAGCATAGAATTTTAGCTGAGAGAGGAAGGTTGTTTGTCATGTATTGCAAAACCAAGCCTTCTGCTTTTTTGAGCTAAATAAAGGTTGCTTAGTTACTTGAAGGTCTCTACAGATTCTTCTTTAGTTGAAATTAAACAGTGGAGTTCAATGTCCTTTATTGTTTTCAGCATTCTATGTTGTTTGCATTTAAATAATGAAAAGAAAAACCTTGACCTCTCCAGCTGAGTCTTCGGCCCAAAGCCAGAACTAAAACCAAAATAGTTTTGTTTAATTCCAATATAGTCATTTCAGGGTTTTTCGAGGTGGTAAGTTTTAAACTAGTCAGCTTTTCAAGGCAATGCACTTTACAGAAGGAAAAAACCCTTCTAATATCATTTGGGAAACAGCCCTGAGATATGCTTTTGTATATGAAACAAATCATAGTCTTGTTAATTCAAGTAAACTTTTCCTTTGGAACTTGATGTTTTCAAAGGGAAACTTTCTGCAGCTGTAGTAAATATATTTTTTTTTTGTCCTACTCTTCTAGTGAGATATTCAATAATTGGTCCATCAGACTTGAAAGCTTTGATTTCATGTGTTGTTTGCAAGTTTTCTTCAAGTATCTTGGTGGTGATATCCTCTTTTCTCTTCAGTCCTAGCCGGCAGCCCTTTGTTCTGTTTGGTAGCCACTCAACTAAGGAAAACTTGAACTCCGGTAACTTTAATTTTCCGTCAGAAGGACATCTTGTTCGAAACACCGGCCTTGGTGGAAGCACTGCTAAGCATATGGTAAGGCTTTGAAGTAATTATCTGATCTTTTTAAGCAGTGCATGTTTTTTTCTTTGTATGTTTTTTTTTGTGCCCTTAAAATGCTTATCTTCCATGAGTTAAATATCCAATTTTTAACATATAAAAACATATGCTACCTTTACAGTCAATCAGGCAAATGAACAAATTTCCTTTTTTCTCTCTCTTTCCAAGTCAAACTATACTAGATGTTTAATCAGGGATTGCTGAGTGAATTAAAAGTTTTTTTGTCCTTTAAAAAAACCAACTTTTTTAACACTTGTGGTGTTCTAAATGTGTGGGGTAGGGGAGAGGGAAATGTTGTTTATGAGGACGTTTGTCCTAGCCATAAAGTGAAAATTTTCCTGATGGTAGCATACGATGTACTTAACTCTGACACACAGGTTTTATTTTAATCAGTTTAGCCTTTTCTTAAAAAGAAATGGAAAGACACTTTTTTTGATAATGACTTTGTGAATAGACAAAGTGTATCCAAATCTCAGCGTATGCTTCGGCAACTGAACAGGTCATGAAACTGAAAATCTTTCTGGTGTTCAAAGAATGTTAAGATCAAGTTGTAAGATTAACTTGTTTCCATTTTCAAGTAAAAGCTTAGTTTTAAAACATGTGATGAGGTCGATGGCTTGTTGCACTGCCGCGCAGGGGACGTAACTGGGGAAGCGACCCCAGGGAATTCAGATCCTCTGGCCGGCTGGGCTGGGTACATCAAGAAGGTAACTCGCAGCGAAGGAGGAGAGGTAGCGTGCAGATTGCGTTGTGTAGTTCTCCCTGCTAGCCGATTTCTGTGGGCTCTGGGAGTGTCCGTCAGTTGTGCGAGTCCAAAGTCTGTGCTGTTGAGGAGATGGATGCGGTTGAGTACAGGTCATCGTGGAGTGGATGTATGATTGAGGGAATGAGTTTTTGATCTTGTCATGACAACATTTCATGCATAGCTGCTTTAGGGATGGATGGACGTGGGTATTCTGAACACATTGCGTGTGTCAAAAGCCTGAGAAAGGATTGTTTGAGCATCCCAGTGAAGTGTCATCCTGCATTTGCTGCTCTAACTCTATATCTGTAAAAACACTTCCAATTTTTTTTCTCCCCTTGTTAACATTACCATTAAGACCATTTGATATCTTTCAAAATGCAAGTACAATTTTTTTCTGATGTGGTACTTGCTCCATCTGTTGTCCTCAGATTCTGACATTGTTCTTAAAAAGGTGGTTTATTTACAGGTACAGGTGGTACTGTTTTAATAGGGTGTCATGAAAATAGTAAATAAGACCGAGTGCAAGCATAGTTATGGGAACCTGACACACTTTCCTCTTCATGAAAAAAGCAGTTGACATAGGAAAATGAAAACATATGCTTAACGCTTATGGAAGTCAGAGCTCATCTCCTTTCCAAAGTCTATCAACCAGTCAGGTCAAGTCAAAAGTGAAATATATCTTTGAAAAACGTAAGTTGCTTTTTAAAAATCCAGTTAAGTCTGTGTTGTGCACTTCCTGTAGTATGTCAGTGGTTAGAAGGCTTAAGGGGAACTTAGCTTATTGTTAATTGTTGCACCAATTTTTTTTTACTAAGGTCTTTTTATATCTCATTAATACTGACAACTAGGTAGTGCAGTGTGTCTCTCCAAAGGGACCTCTGGCGTGTTCAAGGACCTATTTTTTCGGAACCACTCACACTCCATTCCTGGGTAAGTTTATTAAAAGTACCAAGCAGTAATTTAAAGCAGTTCTCATTGATTATTTAAAATTTATACCAGTTAAAAGTTGGTTTTGATTCCTTTATGAGTGTCAGGCCATGGAGTGGTAGATGCTGTGTAATTCTGTAGCCAGTGCAGGAAATCATAGAAGATCATTGTTCTGTTGCATATCTTACCTTCATGTGCAAAAATCCGTCAGGTATTTTCAAAGAATGATTCAAAGGTCAATAATTGTATTTGTGTTTGCATCAGGATGCAGTGTGAAGGCAGAGATCACCTGAGTGGGCAGGCTTTTTACAAGTACTAGATACACATTGGAACAAGTTGGTGTTCCATACAGGTTGACAGAAAACCAGTCCCCAAAAATCTAGCAATTCAAAATGGTAGTTGTCAAATATGCCTCCTTTTTTTTTTTTCTTAACAAAATAATTAAGAACTTTAAAAGGATAGAGAAAGTTGTTTGACCTTTATCCTTCATCATCTGGTTTGGATCAAATAGTATTATAATAGTTGTCTTTCCTGATAAAAACAAGCCATGCGAAATTTTTTAAAAAACCCATTTTCTTACCCATTTTAAATGGTTGCATGAGCCCATGGCTAAAGTCAGTCTCCTTAGGGTTACTATGTATCTTGAAACCATATCCAGCTGAGAAGGTATGCGAGGAGGAGATGATTGGAGGCTTGCAAAATGGAAGGGATTATAGTGTGTGTTTGCTCTAGTTGTGCTTTTTCCTGGGCACTCAGGAATGGCCACTTTGGGAGACAGGATACAGCGTGAGAGCAAGCTTTCTTTGACCCGGTGCAGCTGGTTTTAGGTCTGGCCTTAGTATGGCCTGGCTCCGCTGAGACAAGTTAAACCTGTGCTTTGCTCTTTCTTTTTTTTAATCTGTAAACAAACTGTGGTTATATAAAATACTGGATAAATGTCATGTAAGATATGTGACAGAAATGTTATGCCCACAAAGTTCTGTGTAAATGCTTCTGAAAGTGCTTAAAACAAACATTTTTGTTTTTAATACAGGAAATGACAATGAAATGCACAAGCAAGCTGAACAAGTGTAAGCTGCCAACTTTTTATTATTCCTTAACTCTTCACTCTTTCTATCTTGTGGCAGTATATCAAAACTGCTTTTAGTCAGCAGTGGCTGTTGGCATTTGCAGAGATACATTTTTATTTAGAATAACGTGAATGTCAGAGGGTTTCAAAGGCAAATTGCTTGTTGAGGATTTCAGTGAGCAAACTAGGAATTGTTAGTGTGACATCCCTTCTGCTCTACAGCAAAGTGTAAAAGGAAATTAGTAAAGTTTGCTTAACTTTTATTAAAACTTTTTATCTTTACTGTTATTTGAATTGCTTTAAAATGAGCTTCATATACACTGAGGTGTGAAAGTATCCATAAATGAATGGAAGCCTGTCCCACAGAGTGAAGTAAAAGTAATTTTTAGACTAGTTTCATTAAGCTAAACAATGTGTAAGATTTATAATGGTTAGTGAACATGCCAATGGGGAACACTCAGACTTGCAAACAAATTTCTCTGTGTGAAAGGATAGATAAAATTTCTTTGTTGGTAAGTTACAAAGCTTCCACACATTTTGACCTTCACAAAATAAGATGTTGTTTCTCCATGTTGACGTTCACTTCTCTGCATGTTGTAGATAATCTGTCAAGCTTTAAGAACATGGTAGATAATCTCTCAATCTTGATAAACCAGACCTTTCCTTAGAGATTTTGTCCTCCTTGCTAGTTAGGATAGTTTTAGGAGCCTGTTCTTGCTTCTGCAGCGGAGCAGTTTGCAAGCCTGCATAACATATTAGCAAGATATTAAAGATGTGCCTGAGGGATCCAGTAGCAGTGACCTTTCATGTTAAGTACTGTTGACTTTTAGTAATTGTGATATGGTTCTCAAAGATGTAAAAGGCAGCAGATTTTTACTTTTTTTTTAACACTAAAGCTGCAACAGGTAATTTTGCTTACATGTATGTTCTGCTCAACCATATAGAATATTTCTTGTCCTACTTCTAAAAGACTTTGTACTAAATACAGTTCTGAGATAGCTAGAGAAGTTCTAAGCAAAGCAGGAGTCAGTTGATAGAGGCAGTATTTTTAATGAGAATTTTTTTTTTTCTTGGAAGTGTCCCAGTATTGGATCAAATAATCTATTTACAACAACAGTAAAATCAGCTTTTCTGGCAAACCTGACCTCATGATTTTGGAATTAGTTTGCAGTTGAGTCCTGTAACTGGTTCTTATTTTTGTCAGTGTTTTCCAATGAAATAAAAAGTGGAAAAATATTTCAAAAGTACTATTCAGTCCAAATTTGGCTGTATTTAGGAAGAACTGCAACCTGGAGTGCAGATTCGCTGGAGTGTGTAATCTGACTGTGTAACTTTCAGTATCCCTGGGGTAACCTTTGTATTTTTACTTTTTTTAAAGAAAATGCCATTTTCTGTTTTGCATTGTTAGTGTTGAAACTTTAAAATGGGAAGAAGAGTAAGGTAACTGTGGCACATTAATGTAAAGCACAGCCCGCTGTGAGGTGTTTTCTTGCAAATATATATGTGAAAAAGGAGTGGTCACAGAGTTAGGAAGAATTACACACATGTGTACTAAAAACAAGTTAAATGCACGTGTGAGTACGTGAGATTACATAGGAGAAACATCAAAAAGTAGTAAGAAGGTTTGATTTTTAATATCTCTTACTGTTGTGGGGATGAAGGTCAAAGACAAGCATTGGTGCCTTTTGAGGTTCCTCCGTGTTGGGCCACGTTTGGGAGCTTCAGATGCTTTTTCCATCCTTCAGGAGCGCTTTGCGTATGGCTTATATGCTGTATCCTTCTCTTTCCTCCTCCCCTTCCCTTCCTCAGCATCTAGCAGTTACAGAGGAGTAATGAGAGGAGTTTTGGGGAAGTAGGACTGTTTTGTTGATCTGCTTATCTCTTTGTTCCCATTTAGCTGGAAGACAGAGGCTGATGTTTCTTAGTTGGGCACAGGTGGTTTTTCCAAGTCTGAACAAGAACAAGTCTGTCTCTGAAGTCAGTTCACTCTGTTTTCCAGTTTTGCTTTTGCGGAACGTGGGGCTACCATTCTATTCTGATTGGAATATTTAGGATATGATCCTCAACACAACTGTAGCAAAAGGCAACAATAAAACTTTTTTTTTTCCTTGACTGATGAGAGCAGGGATACCTCTGTGCCAAGAGGTTTTTTCCCCAAGATATTCTGTAATTTGAGCAATTTACTTGCTCTAATTTATTTTTTTTTAAATGGAAAGGTCAAGCATAAAGCTATTTCTATGCTCATTTGAACTAGGACCCCTTCTATATAAGGGAGTTGTGTTATGAGAGGAATAACTGCTCCTTTAAACAGAGGAGGAAGAAAACTATCTGTCTAGTAAATGTTGTGTTTGTATTTCTCTTCAGTACGCTGTTGTCGCAAATATATACTGCTGTTGTAGAGGCTGTGCTTGCTGGCATTGAGTGCTATGCTAAAACTTCCACTGAATCCAAGGTAAATGAAGCACCGATTCTGTACGCTGTAATTGTTGATTTGGATTGCTTGCAATATAAGATTACATGCAAACCAAAATAAAAAATAATAATAAAAAAAATGTTTCAGTCAACTGCATAACATTAATGAAGTTAATACCGTGGCCTCCAACCAGTGTCTCTGAATTCTGTTTAAAAAAGTGAAATTTCAGAGTATATCTAATCTTGTCCATCTACAATTGTTTTTCCATCTTTCATGAGTTTTCCTAACCTTATAGCAAGGAAAATCAGATATGTGAAAGAACACATTTTAGCCTGGTGCATCAGTGTGTTATTGTTTAGTGTATGGTCTCTTGTTGATCTTACGGGTGCTCCTGTAGCTGCTGGGATTTGGAAGTATGGGAAAAGATATTTTATTCTCAATTTCCTTTTTTCAGGCAAAGGAGGTAGCAGAGCAGATGCTCATGTCTGTGTTAGATAGTCTTCACTTAACGCAGCTTAAAACTGTGTTATGGTATGTATTTTCAAATACTGATGTATTATGTCACTGCATTAGCTGCTTCTGGGGAAAAAAAGATGTTAAATGTTCATTTTAAACTGAACTTGCATGACTGCCAAATTCCAAGACTTCATAATGCATTCAGTCTTTTAAAATCATTATCATAATTCCATTTCTCTTTTCCTGCTTTTTTTAATCACCTGACCAGTTCTTTTGCTTTAAATCTATTAGTGCTTATTTTTTTACTTGTAGAAGAAATATAAAACACATTTTTCACCAGTACAATTTCTGTTCTACAGCTCCAAAATCGCTTTTCAAATTCAGGCTGTGAATAATCATGGAAGGTTTGTATCCCTGTCTTACACTACTTGTTAATAATTAGTATTTTTAATACTTTTTGTTGTCTTGGAACTTCTGAGAAAACACTGCATTTAATTATTTCATACAAGATGTACTAAATGCTTTTGTGTATGAGACAGTTTAATGATTTCATATCTGTAATTCTGTGGAATCTTAAAAACAATTTAAAAAATCTAAAACAACTGGGCAGACCGATTTTATTAACTGTTAATGAGTAGAAGCAGCATGAGCCCATTAAGAGTTTTTCTTTTTTGTATCTCGCTTGGTTGATATCGCAAGCTTGTGCTTTTTTTAATCCCCGCACTAATTGACTGAAATGGCCTACACAAAATAAGAGTTTATTTTAAAATTAAATAGCTTTTTTGGCTGCTATGAAGTCACTCAAAATGATCCAATCTTTAAATATTTAATTATCATTATTGTTCTAGAATTACTCCATTAGATAATGAGGATGGCCTGAGTTTGATTAAAACGGTAAGTAAGCTGTTCAGTATTCTTATTATACATTTTATTAGAAAATAGAGCTCGAGTGGCTTTTATGCAGCTATTTTTATCTGTGTGAAGACAAATGTAAGGGGAGAGATGAGAGAGATTTCATATGCTGAAACTGAGGTAGTATTGAGTTTTAACATGAAGTCAGACAGTGGAATTTGGAATAACGCGTACAGTTATGATCTCACACTTTCCACCGCAATATAGAAGTGCCGGGGGTTTTTACGAGGTTTAAAACATATGGATTTTGCTACTTCAATTGAAATGTTTCACATTCTGCTTTCTCTTCCTTTCTGTCCAACTGTTTGATTGCTGTAGGCGTCTATGATGGTATTTGACATTCCAGACTCGCTCACAGGAAGAGGATGCTTGGGATCTGTTGTCTTTTCAGAGTCTTTTCTAACGTCACAGATACAAGTAAAAGAAAAAGGTAACTATTTTAAATTCTAGCACCAATGTTGTCATTCTGTTAGCTTTGGTGTGATGGAGGAGCAAAAGGGCTTCCGATGGATGTTAATACTATTACCATTATGGGTTTTTAAGCCTTTGGGTTAATTAAAAACCTAAATGTTTTAGCTTGCTAGGAATTAATATCTTAAGTGTCAGGTTTCTTTAATCTCACTGAAAGGACTGTGAGTTTTATGGCTGCCTTGTGATACAGCAGGGTGGAGGTGTAAAAAATTCAAGTGTGATAGCACCCTTCCTAAATTTTCTTCAGTCTTTAGCGAATGTTTTCTGTTTTATGAGGAAATTCGAACAGCTCTCTTCCATCACTCATTTTATACAATATGTTTTAATTTCAGTTGCTCTTTGGAAGAGATGAAACAAAACTAAAAAAATACATGATTTTTAGAAGACTGTTCCAAAAACACACTTTACATTTAAAATACAGGATACTGAGTAATTTCCATAACTTTAGACAAGTGCATATCTTCCAGATTGTTTACATGTGACAAAGATAGATAGTTATTGAGTTTGTCTGAACAATATTTATGAACTCTTGTATCCAGACAGGCTGTGGGTTTTTAACCATGGGAGTTGGAACACTTTTGGTGGGGAGGAGAGCGAAGGAAAAAGCCATGTAGTAAGACCAGAATACAAGCAGAGTTTCTTTGGTACTGTATAGCAGCTCTGTGCATGTTACAGCACAAGAAGACTGGCAGTTGGTCTGCTGTGAAAGCTTCACTTAAACGCTAATAGGTCCTTAAAATAATGAGGAAATTTTCATGTTTCCTAAAGAAATTTCAAATCGTAAAAGTAATTTATTGAACAGTCTGAAGTATATGGATGGTATTATACTACTTTGCTTTCCATTTACTTCCCTGCAGATGGCAGCATTAAGTCAGAAACCAGCCACATAATACTGACTGCAGCTATCCCAAGATACGCTTCTTGGCTGGTTAGTACACAAAAACTTACTGAGTTTTTTTTTTTCTATGCATACAGATTCACAAATGAAAACTTGTTATGAGGAAAAAGTATGGAATGTTGGCATTGAAAGAGAATATTAATTCCATTCTCATTTTTTAATTTGGACATGAAATGAAAAACTAATAAGTGGAAACAGGCTGATAGTTCCATTCATAACACGAGTTTTAAATTATTTCATTTTCACCACTTTGATTTTTTAGCTGTGTAAAAGCCTGGGTGTTTTTCAAGTACACAGTGTGACTTAAAAATTCTGTTTATTATGGGGCACTTTAGATGACCTAAATGTCTGCCCCAACAGAAAGAAAGGTCTGCTTCCAGTTCTCTAATGTACTGCCCTGTGGAAGAGGTATAATTTCCGTGAATGTTGTGAGGTTGGACAATGTTATGCCCTTTGGCAATCCATACTTCTTAAAGTAAAAAGTCAGATTGAATGGGATGCACTACTTTGTGTCTATACAACACTATTTTAGTCTATAAAATATTTTAATGTGGAGTATCCCCTTGAATGTGTTTCGAGGAACTATTTCAGTCCCATGGTAACACAATATTGAGGAGCACAAAGCTGCCTCTGAAGCACTCTGCTCTCAGGACTTTATCTACCCCTGGTACCTAAGGTTCTTGTTTGCCTTCAGTCTTCTTTAATGCCTTTTTATTTAACGTTAGACTTGCTTTATCTACTAACAATACAAATGGAAACTGTTTTTGGCTACAGGTTGAAGATAGTGATGTGAAACTGTCTGAAAAGGCACAGCATGTATTGAAGGTAAAATGAAACATTTTCGTTAAACTATAGAAGTTACACTTTCAAGAACCAGTATTCAAAAAACTCTAAGCTGCTAGCAAAACTGGCTTTTATTATGTTTGTTACTCCCTCTACAAAAGACTTGCCTTTTCTATCCTGTCTCTTTCAAACTTTGGCCTACAAAAAATACATTGTGTGTAAAAGCTTGAGGTTTTCTTTATTTCAAAGAATGACAAAACTTAAGAGCAAAAAGAGTTGTAATAAAGCTGTGATTTCATGGAAGCCTCACTAAGTATTACCCATGGAACTCATGTGTTTCAAAAAACCCCCAAAACTCAATGCCACTTTCTTTTAACTTAATTGCTGTGCTAAATGTCTAAAGGAAAGCACTTTAAGCACTATGAAAACGAAAAGAGTTTGGGATCTGGAAACATCTTAAACCACATGAGTTTCACATTTGTGGTTTAATTTGTGGTTACCAGAAATCTTCATTACAAATAGATTTATTTTCCTGTAATATACTTTTAGTTCAGTAGATTGACAATCTAAAAACAAAAAGCTATGCCTTGTGCTTCTGACAATAACTTGTAACTTAATAGCTGCTGGCAAAACCAAAATGGAGGGAAGTGCTTTTAGAAATTATACTCTTGACATTCTGTCTTTCACTAGTTCTTCTGTATTAATGCAGTTTAAAACTCTTTTAAAAAAGTTCTGACACGCTGTTTAAAAAACCCACTTTTTTTTCTTGAAGCAAAAGCGTGAGAAAATATTCTTGCCTCGATTAAAGTCCTTGATATTACTGTTTCTTTTTCCTGTATAGGAAGACAAATCTTTTCTGGGCACTTTACTCACTGGAGGTGATGGAGCATATATTTATTCTAGCAATCCACAAACCATGCCTGCAGAAGGTGAGATGTGTTTTTTAAATTACTTGTAGAGTGGGGTTTTTTTGTTTTTTCTTTTAAGAAACATGAGAGAGGGGCACATTTTCTGGGATTTACACATCTGGTGTAAAACCTATGCCATTGTCTTAAAGCTTTTTTTTCCATTTTCCTTTGCAACTTTTGTTAAACTCCACGTTTTACTTTTTTGTCCTCAACCTCTGCTTTAAACTGCTAGTCCTAGAAGAGGGATTGCTGTCAGAGCTGTCAGCTTGCTTTTGAGGCAGATGGGACTTGCCTCACAGGATTGAGAATGTCTTTGCAGACCTGGGAGGTGGCTTTCTCCCGTAGTTAAAGTTTGAAAGCACGCACAAACTGGCTGCTTCTATCATTAATAGATGGTGTGCCTTTTTTTGTGCTTTTTCTGTACCTATATGAATGTTAGGTTGGAAAGTTTGAGTGTTAGAGTTGTGACAGTACACTGTGGGCTCTCAACTCAAAAAGTGAAGGCAAATATGTACCTTCTGGGCAATGTGGTACCCTGCCTGTGATGTAGGAGGAGATTGGAATGATTTGCTTCTAAATTTTTTTACAGCCTTGTGTTCTTTGCTTCTGTTGAAGTGTCTTCCTGGAGCTGACAGGCTGTTCCAGACTTTATTTTTCCATTGTTATTTTTAAGCAGGAACTTCAGTGGTTTTTAGCACAGATGCTCACCGTATTACAGAAAGATGCTCGATCTTGGTCCTTTTCAGGTTCAATCGAGTTACAGCTCTCTGACATGAGAATACTAGCAACAGTCTTAAATCATTCCTCCTCTTTTGGTGCTTTGCCTTCAAGAACTTAAGTAAAATGAATATCCCAATAATACAGAGTCACAGATTGGTAGGGATTGGAAGGGACCTCTGGAGATCATCTAGTCCAACCCCCCTGCTAGAGCAGGATCACCTAGAGCAGGTTGCACAGGAACACATCCAAATGGGTTTTGAATCTCTCCAGAGAAGGAGACTCCACAACCTCTCTGGGCAGCCTGTCCCAGGGCTCGGCCACCCTCAGAGGGAAGAAGTTTTTCATCACATTGAGATGGAACTTCCCATGTTCCAGTTTGTACCCATTGCCCCTTGTCCTGTCACTGGGCACCACTGAAAAGAGTCTGGCCCCATTCTCTAGACTTTTATAAATATTGATCAGGTCCCCTCTCAGTCTTCTCCAGGCTAAGGCGGCCCAGCTCTCTCAGCCTTTCCTCATACGAGAGATGCTCCAGTCCCCTCATCATCCTTGTAGCCCTCAGCTGGCCTCTCTCCAGTAGCTCCCTGTCTTTCTTGAGCTGGGGAGCCCAGAACTGGACACAATATTCCAGACGTGATCTCACCAGGGCAGGGTAGAGGGAGAGGAGAACCTCCCTCGACCTGCTGGCCACGCTCTCCTCTATGCCCCCCAGGACACCATTGGCCTCCTTGGCCACGAGGGCACACTGCTGCTCATGGAGAGCTTGTTGTCCACCAGGACTCCCAGGTCCTCCTCCACAGAGCTGCTTCCCAGCAGGTCAACCCCTAACCTGTACTGGTGCCTGAGGTTGTTCTTCCCTGTTAAATACGACTGAAGACAATTTGGAAGGACTGTTGGGAGGGGTTTCCCTCACTCCACAGCCTTGTGTTAATGTACCTTGCTTTGCCTTGAATCAATAGAGACTTCTTGAGGCATAATATTTTGGTATTCCACTGTACAGGGAAGGTACCGTTGCCACAGTGCTGATGTACAACAGAAGGTAACTAACACCTGACGTCTAAGTGCTTACTATAAGCTGATGATCTTTAGGGGAAAATCTTTAGCTTAATTGGTTGTTTTTTTGTTTTTTTTTTTTAGTTATGCAAAGAGTATTAGTTTAAATAGTGATGTACAATGCAGTTAAACAGTGACTTTCACATAGCTGAGTTTGCTCTTGTTCTAATTGGACAGATTTTAAAGAAAGAAGGTTAACGCAGAGTAACATATTTAACTATTTTGCAATATAGTGCTGTGGGTGCAGGTTCACTCAGTAAATCACTAAGGAAAAGAGTGGTGAATTTTTTTTCTTTTTTTTTTTGGCTTTGTGAAAACTGTCTGTGTCTGCCCCAGTGGAGCAATTTACTTTTTTCCCTTTTTTGGGGAGATTTGTGATAACTCTTGGGATGGAGAGTTTTAAGTAGGTGGTATAAGGACTATTATGTAACACTTCAACAAGGGAGATATTTTCTTAGGTGTCAAGTGAAAACGAACTTGATCTCGTTCCCTTTCACGTACACTGCAAGACAGTTTGCTGTGCTCTAATTTGGGCTCTGCTGAGGTTGCAGCTATGTAGCCTGGCAAGATTAGGTGCAAAAAAGGTGCTTTCACACAGGTGCTCGTCTTCCCTCTCTGTCACTTGTGTTTTACTATAATAGGGTATACGTTCATGACCAAAATGCATCCAAAAAGTTCAAGCTGTTAAACCATTTCCTTAGTATGCTAATATAACTCCTGTGTTACGAATTTTTGTAGGGTGAACTTAACTGAGTCAGTCTTGCCAATCAAGCACTCGTTTGTGATTAATCACTTGGAAAATATACAAGTAGTGTATCAAGTTGTTCTTGATATAATTCACTGACTTCCATGTTAAAGGAAGCTCTTTTAGTTTGGATTAATTAATACTCTTTTTGGCTTGCTTTTCTGTTACAAAAGAATTAACATCTCTGATTTCCTTTCTTTCCCCATTAACACATTCTCTGTGAAGTGTGATATTCTGTGAGATTTGACAGAAATGTGCTTCAAGTGTTGTATTTCTCATTTTTCTTCCTTGACCACTCACTAGAAGGCACGTACTTGTGCTGTGGCTTGTATTTTGTGAGTCCTGGAAGCATCAGCAATCAACATCTTGTATATGTAAACTATAAAACCTTCACATCTGTGTAATTATCTATGGCTTTGCCTCCATTCTACTTGCTCTGAATTTGGACATTGAATTTGTGATTGTAGTGCTTCCCAATTTAATAGTAGCTGTCTCCCCAGTGTAATTCTTCTGTTAACTAGAAGCTTCAGTCTAAACCAGTTACATTCATGGTTAGCAGAGCCAGTATGTTTTTATGGTGATTTGATTTCGTATCAAGCCCTTTTTTATTAAAATGAAGCCTTAAGATCTTACTTTAAGTTGCTATTTCGGAGGAGAACACCTTAGTTTCTTTATTATTTCTGCCAAGTATTGTTTAATAGATTGAGCTAGTAGTGCACTCATGTTTTAATTACTTTGCTGCTTGGCTTTGCTTTTTTGAAACATAACTCTGAGTAATGCTGGGGTTTTTTTTCTTTTTGTTTTTTCTTTTTTTTAAAAGCGAATATTTAACCTTTCCCTTTTGCCAACTCATGTGCTTCCCTGTATGGGATGTGCGCCTGCTTTTAAAGCATGGTCCAGTTTTTAATGCTGATCCTGCTTTAGTCATTTGTTCATGGTTTTCTTATGACTGTCAGAAATTAGCTTTTTGCTGATGTGAGTTTCTAGCACTTTGGTGGAATTTTGGATTTATCCATTATACCATCTAGCCTTGTTGTTTCTCATTTTCCAGCTGCTTACCCTGCAGGTTTGTTAAGAACCAAAGTGTCTGTAAAATGCCAAAAAAAAAGGCGACAGAATGAATGCCATGTCTCTCTTGGCTGTCACTAGATTGTTAGCTCGCAGGGAAATTACTAGCCTATTAACAGTTGTGTTTATATGCAAAATAAAATGCAAGTCTGCAAGTAAAGGGCTTTTCTGTTTTAAACTTTGTCTTGGTCAGGAAGTGAAAGGAAAACTGTCTCTCTCTTTTTTTTTTTTTTTTTTTTTTTTACTGCATGGTATGTGTTAGTATATTGACATTTTGCTGAAAATCTGACCAACTTGTTATGGTGTTTAAGTTTTCAGTTGTTTTGAATATGTGGGCTCCAGGGGATAAGATTAAGTCAAATGAAATCATAGTCATGATTCCTGCCCTTGATAGTGAGATCCAGTGAATATTGAACGGTTGTGCTCTGAATGCTGTCTAGATACTATCCCAAAACTTAACTCAAACGTATTGCATGATAATCCTAACAAAATTCTGCAAGAACATAGATTTCTTCCTCAGAAAGAAGAGGCATTCAATACATGATGCTGAAATATCGATATATACCTAAAACAATCTTTTTTTTTTCTTTGAAATTCTAGGCAAATTGTACTTCTTTTCAGATGGCATTCTCTTTTCTGATCCCCACCATGGCAGCATTTCCATTTCAAAGAACCACATGAGTTCCATTTCTCTCTATGATGGGGTGAGTATTTTTCTTTCTTCCTACTGTCATAAACTTGTTATAAATTTTTAACATGCTTCTGTAGGGTACTAGTACAAAGTTTCGATTTCAGTTGCAGTTTTACAAATGTGTGTGTAAAACTGTAATAAGTGATGCTAATGTCTACACTTCTGGTATTGGTTAGCTAGCAATTACTGATTAGCTAATCTGTAAGGAGAAGAGAATTTTGTGTTAGACTTGAGTTATCAATATGGTCTTAATAGCATGAAAAATTGCTTTTTGTTAAAAGAAAAATTGCAGAACGTAGCATTCATAAAACATCTAGCAGTCTTAAGTGATAGAGAAAAATTCAAGGTGTTGTGAAGTCATATGGCATATTGGAGGGTGAAATGCTGCCTTCTATTCAAAATATATTTAACCTTCAGTCAAATGTTCGTGGCAGCGTACTGCTTATCTCTGGAGAGGTCACGAGCAGCGTCTGTCTACTGTCGTTGAGTGTTGTGTAACTGACAGGGTGAAGGGAATGACTGGTTCGTGTTTCCCAAGCTGAGAGGCGAGAAGGAAAGGCATGTTGCATGTAATTACACATATTCTGAGTAATTACACCTAACATTGTGTCTTTTACTGTAGGCTTTTGCCTTTCCTGTGATCAACTTATACCACTTCACTTGGTCAACTTGCTACGCTAATAGTTTTGCTTAGTGGGAATTGAAAGTTAGGTTAATGATGGCAATTCAGGTCTTTTTTTTTTTTTTTTTTTTTCCCTCTTCAAGGCAGACCTGCTGGGTTAACTATCACTTTTTCAGAATGGAAAAGAGATTATTTTGGTTGGTTATTGTTTCCTGAAAAAAAAAATAATCTCAGTTTCCTTTAGTTTCTATTTTCCTCAGGTACAGTATTAGACATTTTAGTGACCTCCAGAAAGCATTGTGTTGCTGTGATTTCATCATATAATGGAGGAAACCAGTAAAATACAATAAAAGTGTGTGATTCAATTGAGATGAAAGCACAACAGTGGAGAGAATCTTACCTTAGCTGCCTTTTTTGTATATGATATTGATTGCCTCTTGGTAGTTTAAGAAGCTATTTTAACACTGACCTTCCTTCTATTGTTTGAGTCAAGACACTCACTTTCATAAAACTAGCTATTTATGGGACCTGGCTATCATTCTTGAACAGATGCCAGATTTTTGTGTAAAGCTAAACCTTGACAGAAAGCATTTTATTGTTCTACTTGACTTGGCATAATACAAGGGTGGAGAGCTTAAAATGTTAAGAAGTGACAGGAGGAGAAGGGTAATTGTTAGTATGCTTTTTCCAAAAGTTATTGCAACAATAATATTGATGGAAAAGAAAGGGTAATGTAATGGTAGGATCAAAATAAATGATACAAAGACTTTAAGTGATACAAAGTACAGTTTCTTAGCAGCCCTCACGCCATGCCTGCTAGATGCTTCTCTTTTTAACTTGAAAACGTCTGCACTTTTGCCTCCAACACGTGCTGCAGGCTTCTCTGTTCTGAGATGCTGGGCACCTAGTTGCCACCTGAGTTCCTGAAGTCCTTGAGGCTCATAGGCATCGAGTGATCGAGTGCTGGAGGACAGGGCAGATTCCTCACAAAACTGTACCACGAAGGTCTAAAGCAGAAGCCATCCCAATCTTATCAAATACACGTCTTCCATCTCGTAAGGCAGCACTATTCTAGCTTAGTACCAGCCATCAAGCGTGTAAAAGAAAACCCGACAGGCTGCACTGCCACCCAGTCTCCAGACTCCCAGGTTTATTTCTCTTTTTTCTGTTGCTGTTCAGTGTCTCGTTAAATTGTATGAAGGCATCTTTACTGTATAGAGCTCAAGGTGCTATGTGCTTGGGTTCAGTCTTATTTAAGGCCAAGTACTGAAGCTTGTAAGTACCTGAATCCAACATTCCTTTTGGCCATTAATCAAGTGAACAAATATTAAGTAATACTTAGATTTCACAATAACATTAACATCTTGTAAAACTTGGAAATGGATTCTTTTAACCTTATGTCCGTGGGGATTATTGCTGCTTCTTTTCAGCTTTTTTTCAATTTGTGGAACCCTAAACATTTTCCAGGAGGAGGAGCACATTCTGTTAGACACTTTGCATGCAGATTGCAGCATGCGGCATGTTTGAGTTGGCCTTTTAGTCGTTCCTCGTGAAATCTGCAAGCTATCTTGCAGAATCCAGGGTCTGTGGACCATGTTCCCAAAGTTGATTTCTCCTAAGGGAGGTTGGTTTTCTCTTAAGAGAAATTGTCTCTTCAAAGAACATTTTTACATGTTCTTCAGTAACCTCAATGGCTTTGGGAGGATTACTTTTATCATTAATCCCTCAGTAAAGGGTAGAGATTCTGTTTGCAAAAGTCTCTGAATTGTTACCAATTCTACTGTAAGTGTTCTCCAACTTGAGCTTTTTCTTCTGAAAAATTAGTAAGTAAAGTTCTTTGCCCACTTCTGTTGAAAGGGAGATGGATGGTACTCAATTTGTGATTTGAACCCTAAGTAGTGGAATTCACATTTTCCAGGGATGTTTCATGCTGATGAATTCTACTGTTTTTCTAATGGTTTGGTGTGAAAAGAGTTACAAGTCAAAGCTTGAGCATAAAACACTTCAGCATCCTGCAAAGTTGTACATAAATGCCTGTCTTGCAATCCAGAAAACCAGGAGTCAGGTGTTGTTTTATCACAACAAAAATTGGACAAGCTGACTTCAGTGCTTCTGAGGGAGACTGATCTTGAGGGCTTCAGCTTCCTGTTGGTGAAGACATAATTCAGGTGAAGAAGCAATAGATTTAGCAGAAGTTGTGCTCATTAAAGAATCCGAGAGAAACTTCCAATGTGCAAATGACTTGTGCTTTAAATTGCAGGCCTGATAGCTGTATCTCGTTGCAGCATGGTTCCTTTCGGGTCAGAAACTCAAGAGTATGGTATAAAAAAAAGTTTGCAATAGCACCATGCCGTCCTCCTAATCTTTTTAGCTGACATTTAATTCATTCTTCCAGGGTATCTGTGTCAGAGGAGATACGTAGCTATAGGTGAGGGTGGCTCTGCTGTGAAGCAATAGCAGAGGAAAGGGCTAAAGGTCTAGTGTCTGATAGAAAGGAAAGAGTAGGTATTAAAATGCAAGCTTTTCTTTTCAAGACAAGACAGAGCTTAGGTGCTTAGAACAATCTCAGATGCTTTCTTTAAAGCTTATGATAACTATAATAGCTGCAGAGTAGAAACTGAGGAGTACGGTAAGTGGCTGTATTTGATCCTTCCACTCCATACCTGCACTATGCAAGCTAATGAATGTTCAGATCTTTACGTGTGCCTAGCTATGACGGTAGTAGTTCTCTCCTGATCTCCACTATTCCATGTATTGAGCCTTTTTTTCACTTTCAATAACTGTTAATTATAATTTGTTCTGTTTCTTCTTTTTCTAGGATTCAACCAGTATTGTTGCTGCTCTCTTCATAGATATCAAAAGTTCCTTTCTTGCTCATCTACCGATTGAATTCCATACCCGGGACAACTTTTTGATGATTGCACTTTTCCCCAAAACAAAGATTTATAAAGCTTTTTATTCACAGG